TATACTCCAGCCCGTTCTCCAGCGACCGGATTAAGACGTTAGGAATTGGAGGATCGAAGATAGCTCTCATCTCGTTGGACTGGACTCGAGGCAGGCGACATTCACGACGCGGCTGCACCGGCGTAAATCTTCATTTTGCACCGGGGGGGCTCGGGCAATTTTTCAGCGCCCGGCGAAAGCGTTCGACGAGACCCGGGGACAGCCTGGTCGCCCCAACCCTTCGTTCCTGGTCACAGGCTAAAGAGGAAAAACGAGCGCCGGCGAAAGGGGCCGTTGGACTGGGGGAGGCGCGGCCGACAGAACCGAAAAAAAGAAGAGAAAAATATATATCGAGAGAGAGAGAGAAAAAGGGGAGAACCGAGGGAATTTTGAACCTACAGCGCGCTTTCACTGGGGCAAGGTAATGAAATGGCTCGGCTGCGAATCCGTCGCAGTCCAGGATCGTCAATTAATGACACCGTCTGACTCCTCCTCGCCTTCCCTATAGCTGCTCGGCCGAGCATGCGATCAGTGTGTAATTTCACGAATTACACGGGCTGAGAGCAAGGGAGGAGATCGATTCGCGGAAAAATCCGTGATCGATCGGGATTTAATGGGGCCTGAATCCTTCAAGATTTCGTCGAAGATTTACGACCGACTCGCCGGGAGTTTAAGATCCTGCGTTACGTCGGAAGATCGCTCTGATCCGAGATCGTTGCCCCGTTCACCAGGTTGAACCTTAACGAAAATGTGGATTCTGAAATAGGTGAGCTTTAATCACTTTTAATACTGTATTATTGTGAATATCGTCGTTTAGATCATTTTTCAGGACAGTAGAAAACCACTACTAAGTGCGGACATAATACACTGGGGGTACCTCCTGGGCCTAATTCCCCTGACGCCCTTAGCCCCAATAACGTCATTTCCATTTATTTCGTTGTCTTTTTAGAAACATACATAGAAAAACGAAGTTAAAGAAACCAATATGCAAATAATACCAATAAATTTGCTACCGGAATGACGACAGTCTGTCATAGATCAGACCTGCCTGGGATTTAATAATCCAGAAGACTGAAACGATCCCATATACAGGATATTATATCCAGAAGATGATCTATTAGAGAGTCCAATTATAATTCTAAAATAGAATCACCCGAATGTCGCGTAATCGATCGTTTCGGGCCACGTGCCCTAAAGGGTTGAAACGTCTATTTGTGTATCGTATGTGAAACAAGGCTGGATCTGGGCGCAAAACCCGCGTCTCTGACGTCGCTATTATTATCCAGGAGGCGAGCACCGTGTTTCGAGAGACACACACAGACGGTCCAGGACACGAGGGAGGCCAAGCATAATAAACAACGGATCCCCGGATACGGAGACAACCGGGTAGTTTCTCCCTCTCTCTACCTGCCTGCGGGGATTACCCCCAAGGGGTAGTCGTGGTAGTAGCCTTTCAGGGTCGCCGGCGATTAGAACAAAGGAGGTCCGGCGCGGAATGGACGGCTCGGAAATGGATAACGACCGTGTAATCGCGAGTGTTCATTCCTGGCTGCCTTCTTTCCCTCCTACCCCCACCCCCGACCCCGGCCCTACGTGTAACGACGAGCATTTATCGAGACCGTTTTTGTCTGCGCCGCGGTGCAATCGAGAAAACGGGATTACCCGCTAAGCATCACGGTTTTTAAAGACGCGAATTGAATTTCTCGGGATAAAAGATCTTGCAACGTAGGAATCGTTCGATTTGAAAAGTTAGGTTAGGAGAGCTGGGTGGTGGGGCGTATTATGCGCTCGTGACATGGAACCCGATATACTGATCTCATTTGATCATCTCTGAGGTCGGTAATGGAAGCTGCGCGGTGCATTAGAAGTAGAATCTAATCAGCGTGTCACCGTGAATGGTTAAGTTCCTCGTAACAATTTCTTAGCGTGCACGAGTTGTGACAATACAGTTTCGAGAATAAATCATTCAAAAATTAAATTAAAGTTATTATTTCGACAATGATGGCTTCATATCCATGTAATTATAAAAAAAGAATTTTCTCGAAACTTTATTGTCGCGCCTCGTGTATGTACCACACTGGTGACATTGTGGTATACGAGATGCGACAATAAAGTTTCGAGAATTCATTCGAAAATAAAATCGGTACATTTCACCTGAATTTTTTTTCGGTAATTCGAACGTTTCTTCGTGGTCGCAATAAGAATATAGACTATCGTGTGTCCCGGAAGGGGGAAGTGGTCGGAATTCCGTCGATCGAGGCGCGGATCGCAATTGCAATCGCGGACGGGTCGTTAAGTATTCAGTCCGTGCCGGGCCCCCTACCGGTCCTCTCACTAATAACATCACGCATCCCGAGACGTCTTTGCATGCCCGCGGCCGAACCTCTGGTTCCCGTTTCCAGCAAAGCGTCGAATCCTCCGTCGGTGCCCGTCACGTAACGTTTTCACGGGAACTTGTTTTTCTCTTGTACCTGCCCCTCCCACCGATCGCGAAACTTGGCAAGAGTTCGTTGATTGTCGCGCACGGCGTCCACATTCCAACGAACGAACACCCTCCCCCTTCGTCGCAGTTGTCGCTGACAAAGGATGCAACGTAAGACGAGGAAGTTATGTTTGGATTTCTTTTACAATGGAGACGGAGAGGGGGAGAAGCAGTCGCAGTAAGTAGACACGTGCCAATTTGGGGCTAATTATAAATATTATCAACGGTTAAGTAACTTTTTTCTCGTTCTTCTTTTTAGTTTTGATCATAATTATCATTGAGGTTAGTTTTATTGTAATACCCACATAGCACGTGACGCGTTAGACCGAAATTTCGTTAAGGTAGAAATAAATTGGGAAGGAACCCTTACCTATTCTGTGTTTCCGTAATACATAGACTGCTATAAATTTATTCATAGTTTATTTGTCAAAGTGATTAAGTTCACAAAAATTATCAAAGAAATTTATTTCAAATGTACAGAGTTAAGTATCAATCAGGTGTTTCGGGACTAAAATTTGGAAAAATTCAGAAAGTGGATTTAATCGCTTTGACCTCTGAACGGCCCAAATGTTATTAATAGTATTATGCTCACCGTCTTGGTTTCCTTGACGATGGGAGGGAGCAGATATACACGCCCCGAATCTTAACACTGGTCCCTCTATTGACGTTCGAATTATTTTAACAAGCTCCCGTCGTTTTTTTTTTTCTTTTTTTCTGTGGGGTGCTCTCCCTTATGGGACAATGGAGGGTGGCGGACCGTATTGCGACGAAACGGAATCGTTTTGCCGCGACGAAGGGTGAAATGTGGGCTGGTTACGGTTAGGGCGACGACCATCTGTCCTTTGGTAAGCTTTTTCCCCGTGGTTGGGACTCGTGGTTTACCAAGGGAGAGGAAATATATCTTTGTCGCTTACGTGCGAGCCGTTTTATTATTAATTTTTATTCACTCGGCGGTCGAGAAGAAAAGTCGTCGAGAATTTTGTTCATTCGGTGTACGTACATAGGATTATATTTTTCTGAGTTAGACTTTTTGAAACAAATTATTAACTTAACAATTCTATTTAGCAGGACATTGGGTCGTCGTTGACCCTGACTTGGCCAGCAAATCGATGTCGATTGAAGATAAAAGATTCGTTAGTTTTTAATAGAATCGAATCTCTTAAAACAGCCAGAAAGTTACATCGCTGGAAGTTCAATCCAAAATTGAAGGAAACGTTCGAAGAAAAATGTGAGAAGACAACTAAAAGTTCTCATAGCGCTCCAACGGGCGAGTAAGCGAGCAGTATGGGAGAAGGGACTCCATTTCTTCGATCCAAATTTGAAAAAATGCAGATTCAATCCAAATTTGAAGGAAAGACTAAAGAGAAATGTGAGAAGACAACCAAAAGTTCTCATAGCGCTCCAACGGGCGAGTAAGCGAGCAGTATGGGAGAAGGGACTCCATTTCTTCGATCCAAATTTGAAAAAATGCAGATTCAATCCAAATTTGAAAGAAATACTAAAGAGAAATGTGAGAAGACAACCAAAAGTTTCCATAGAGCTCAAACATACGAGTCAGCGAGCAGAGTACGGGAGAAGGCCTCCGTTCGTTCGAGTCCTCCACAAAGTTGCATCTCCAAGAACCCCGTCAGAAACTTAAAAATTGCGTCCGTTGAAAAATGCAGGATCGCAAACCAAAGACCCGACAGCCCACGGAGTGGAGGAATCATCGAGCACTCTTTTTCCCTCATCGATCAGAAAGTTGCATCGCCGGAAGCTCGGTGGAAAGTTAAATGAACGGGGACCGCGAGCGCCGATGTCTTCCGGAATAGTTTTCGACGCGGCACGAATCTTTCCCGGGGACTCGAAGTTGCCTCGAAAACTCGCGACAAAGGGAATTGAATGGGCATCGGTGGATACGGGCGCGAGAGGCGTGTGCGCCGCCGACACACACTCTCTCTCTGTCTCTCTCCACCACCACCGTCGTCGTTACCACCACCACCACTACCAAACGGCACCAGCATCGCGAGCCATCGGCGCACCTCTACTCGGTGCCACCTCTACCTCCGCGATCAGTCGACCCCGTGCAACGCGGCTCGCCGGCCGCCGCGCGATAATACACGAAGTCCGCCCTGTTCTCGTGCGATCTTCCCTCTCTACCTCGAAAAGTGTCGGCCTCGAACAAGCAGAACACAAGTGGACATACTGCGGGACCTATTCAGACCTGGAGCTAGCTCCGTAGGGGCCTATAGGGACAAACAAAGAAGGTGATATTGCGCGTGCGTGTGCTAGTTAGTGCGTGTGCCTCCTCTGGAAAGGTCACGGTAAATTAGAAGACATTCATTCACTATTGAAGAGCTAATCAAGACATAACCAAGATTTAACTAAATTCTAACTAAGACCTGAAAAAAGGACATATACACGAAAACGACGGCGTGGTTGGAGAGTAGCGAGAGGCTAACACGGGGGAGAGAGGATTGCGCGCAAAAGCCGGCGGTGGTCCCCCACTCGCTAACTTGTTGAGTCTCTCTCTATCTGGACAGGTGTGTTTGTGTGTGTGTGTGTTTGTGTGTATGTGTGTGCGCACGTAGAACCCAGCCGGGATACGCCATCGCAGAGCACGCGATAAGATGACGGGGAAGCTACCCGCGGTGCTGCTTCTCCTGCTGGTGCAGCTGAGCTCGAGCAGGGCGAACGTCGCCACCCAGAGGACTAATGTCCACAATGATCCCCTTGTGGTGGAGACGACCAGCGGTCTGGTACGTGGTTTCTCACGTACGGTGATGGACAGAGAAGTACACATCTTCTACGGGATACCGTTCGCGAAGCCCCCGATCGGTCCCCTAAGATTCCGTAAGCCACTGCCTATCGAGCCCTGGCACGGTGTGTTGAACGCGACAGTGCTACCGAACAGCTGCTACCAGGAGAGGTACGAGTACTTTCCTGGCTTCCCAGGCGAGGAAATGTGGAATCCAAACACAAACATCTCGGAGGATTGTTTGTACCTGAACATCTGGGTGTCCCAGAAGTTTCGTCTGAGACACAAAGGATCTGAACCACCGAATAATGGGGATCGAAAGGGTGTTCCTCTTTTGGTCTGGATCTACGGAGGAGGATTCATGACTGGGACGGCCACGTTGGACGTCTACGACGCTGACATCATGGCAGCCACCAGCAACGTCATCATCGCCTCTATGCAGTACAGAGTTGGCGCTTTTGGGTTTCTCTATCTGAACAAGCATTTTGCAAATAGCGAAGAAGCTCCTGGGAACATGGGCCTCTGGGACCAGGCTTTAGCGCTCAGGTGGCTGAGGGACAATGCTGCTGCGTTTGGAGGCGACCCTGACCTGATCACCATCTTCGGGGAGTCCGCTGGCGGTAGCTCGGTGTCCCTTCATCTGATCTCACCTGTGACTAGGGGTCTGGTCCGTCGTGGGATCCTACAAAGTGGGACATTGAACGCTCCGTGGAGCTACATGACTGGGGAAAAGGCTAACGAAGTGGCCAGGGTGCTGGTCGACGATTGCGGCTGCAATTCCACTTTGCTCCAAGAGAATCCAGCCAGAGTGATGGCCTGCATGAGGTCCGTGGACGCGAAGACCATCTCTGTACAGCAGTGGAACAGCTACTGGGGCATTCTTGGCTTCCCATCTGCACCCACCATCGACGGGATCTTCCTGCCCAAAGATCCACTCGAGTTGCTGATGGAGGCTGACTTCAAGGACACGGAGATACTGATCGGGAACAACAAGAACGAGGGTGAGTGAGATTTGTTTAATTCGGTCACTGGGGTTTGGGTACCAATTAAGGGTTTGATTGTAGGTCTGACGACCCTGGGTATTTAATTGGACGGTGGTACTTGCGATGTAATTGTCAGTGTGGTGGTTGTGTGATGGTATCTTGAAGAGAAAAGTGTAGTATGTTAGGTCTTATAAATTTCTTGGAAAGTCTTTTCGTGGTTTGCGAAAGTCAACTCGTTCCGAGGGTGCTTAGAGTTGAACTGATTAGGCAGTCATCGTGTCGAGGGGTCGGGTCAAGTTTGTGGGAATGAAATGGATTCTCTGGGATGACGAGCGGCTTTTAATGTAACGAGGTTATCGGGGACGTTGACGATGATTAAGCGTAGGTCGTGGGGATCGTTCGATACCGTCTTGCGAAAAATCTCTTATCGATTCCGATTTCGAGCCGTGGAACGCTCTTGTTTATCCATGTTCGTTACGTAAATTCCCCGTTGAACCGGATGAACGGCTGTCTCTGGCTGGTTGGAAACAATGGTTCTCGGTGTATTATCGTTAGATAACGCGGGGAACCTATTCATTATTGGCTCGCGATCCACCTTTCTCGTTAATGAAAAGCTGTGTCGCGCGCAACGCAGCTGTGTTTTACCGCGGACGGGAATTATTTTGCGCAGGGCTCCTTGAGGGTCTACCCACTCTGGCTAATTAACCTTTACCGATCGAAGGGGCGTGGGGACGATTCGATCGACGGTGCCTTGGTAAAGGGCATCGGGGTGTCTTCTGATATCTGTCGGGCTCGATGGGGACAGAAAGGTATGGCTGGAAGATCGCTTTTCACGAATATTCCCTGAAAGTCTTGAGAGTCTCGAGAGTCTCGAAGGTTCTCTGTATGTTTTGAAAGTTTTAAAAGTTCTGAAGGTGTTGAAGGAACTGAATGTGTTGAAAATTTTAATAGTCGTGACGATTTTGAAATTCTAAAAGTCTTTGAAAGCCTTGAAGGCCTTGAATGCTTTGAAAGTCTTGAATGTTTAGAAAGTCGTGAAAGTCTTGAAAATCTCGAAAGCGTTGTAAGTCTAGAAAGTGTTAAATGTCTTGAGAATCTTGAAAGTTTTGAAAGTCTTGAAAGTCTCGTAGATTTTAAAAACCCTGAGGACTTTTAAATTCCCCTGCTAATATTAAATTAAATTTACCTCCTACGCGATTTGATCACATCACAGGTGCCACAGAAATCGCGAATAGTTTAGGACTCCCAGAATTTTCGTGTTTCCTGAAACACGTTCATTCAGCGAAAAAAAGATTCCGAGACTCTCGGTGTTCCCAAGTTTGCGAAGTGAACAGACGGTGCCCATGGACGGGGATTAACCTCAGACGCGTGTAATCTCCACGAATCCCTCGGAGTCTGAGAGATCGCACCGATTAATTAGGACACTGATTTTCCCCGGCGAATCTACGCAACTAGCCGACAGATAACCTCGATCTGGTGATTAAAAACGTCGTACGCGTCTCGACCTTTCACCCAAAAGGTGAGGCGACCATTAATTAGCTTAGTCGAACGAGTCGAGGTAATTAAGCAGCCCGAGCTCCGTTTCTATGGGGACTTTCGCGCCCTAAATGGAACCTTTTTCTATCTCCCGAGACAGTTGTCTATTATTTCTGATTACTTACACGTGTACTTCGATTCTTTATCTCTGGCTAAGAGTACATTGGGCACAGCGGGTCCCTTCGACAACACATTCCGACGATAAAATTTGTCGTCTCGTGTTTCGAACTTATCTTGTGAGCAGTGGACCAAATGAAACATACTGTGGTGCTTCTGTAGGCGATCGTGTTTATAGAGAGAGAAAGGGGGAAAAGATGAAGGCATTCTTACAGTACAAGTATAGTGTAATATATTGAAGTGTGTACAATAGAAGGTCTTTTTTTCATTAAACGAAATATACTCAGGTCCTCGTGGTTGACCGTGCTTATACAGAGAGATGAAGGGTTTGAAATATATGTAACTGACGGTGTTTTTTTTACAGTTCAGTGAGTTCTTCTTTACATAATAAACATTTTATACAACAGAGCTTCTCTCGTTGTCATGGGAAGAATATACATTGCTTCTGTTCGAGTCAGTTTCACGAGTAAGAATAATATCGGAAGATACGTCGTGTCAGTGCGATGCACACGTGGCTACATCAGTAATTTGGCCTATTCAGTGTTCTGCCTCGATATGACATCTTGCCCCTGACACCTGTGTAAATTCGCGGTGTGGCTGACAATTGAGCGCTTCTGTAATTCCGGATCGTTTAATGTTCTCTCGAACAGGATAAAGCGTGCCTCCTCTTCCCTATCCTCCCGAAAATTGCTGCCAATCGAGGATCGTGTCAACGCGGACGGGGACCATTTTTCGCGAATTCATCGGTCGACCGATTGTTTCGGCCCGTTTTACCTCCGTTCCGCGTCAAATGCAACGTGTCTCATGCATAAATCATGCCGAAGTGGACACCCTCTCCGTCCCCCTGTAAATTGATTCCATTGACGCGTAGAAACGCTCCTTTTCGAGCTCGATGCAACCTCCTCAATAATTCAGAACACTTCCGGTACGGAAGTACACCGTTTGTTGCCGCAAAGAACGGAAAATCGACGCGATTATCGTGTTCCCCGCGTACTTGCGACCTTGTATTCGACATTTTGAAACCTATGGTAAAGAAAAATCGTCGGGATACAGTTTGAAACCATCGTGAAATTGAATTGTCTTGATCGGTCTACTAAATGGCTGACTCGTACTACTGCGATCCAGTCGTAGGATATAATAATCATTGTTTTTATTAGATTTCAGTCTCAAATTTTCACTTTAGAACACTGTATGAAACCAAGAAAAGCATGAAGTACATTAAAATCCAATTTTTTCATAGCCGCCGAAGAGCTTGACTCGTACTACTGCCATTTTGATGCAAAATCAGTTCCTATAGGAATACCAGGGAGTTTTTCGGGTGTCTCTATAAAATCGAAAGTGGGATTACTTTAATTGATCTCGTTTAGGAAGTCAGAGGTACCACGGAGGCGTGTGTGCGTACGCAGCGGTGCCAATTTCGTTTCTTCGTGGGAAGTTTTCCGGTGAGAAGAAAATTCGGAAAATCCACTGACCTGGATTCAAATTTCGCCACCCATCCGTGTTCCCTCCCCGTTCTTAACTAACTTCCTGGTTGGCACGTGCTTCCTTCTGAATCCCAATGAGGCCTGGATCGGTGATGGCTCGAAAAAGGGAAAGTCTTCCACCAAAGGAAAATCATCCGACGAAACGAGCCTAAGATATTTTGAGGTCACGATTGACCCAAGGACCGTTTGCAACGACCCATACTAAAAAATTCTATGATCTGGAAGAACGATAGCTTAACAAAAAATACAATACACCGAAAAATCGAACTTTCGAGCTGTGGGTCACTCTGAACCCATCCATTTCGTATCCCATATTTCGTAAAAAATTCCAGGGATTGCTGGAAAGGGAAAGTCCCAAACCCTTGACCCGACGGAACTCTCTGGAGTGTGTTTGCAGAAACTCGACGGAAAAAAGAAAGAAAGGGAAGGACGGAAGTCGTTGCATTCGTCATGTTTCCGGGGGGTGGGGGGTAGACGGGAATTTTAAAACTCGTTCGTTATTTATAGTACCGTTGGATATGCAAAAGAACCTGCGATCCCTGGTTGGTTAACAAATGTCTCGGCCAACGGAAGAACGATTTTTTCACGGGAAACGTGGACTTCAGCAAGGGTAATTTCGCGGGTATTCGACGGGAAGGGGGGAGAGTTCCTCGGTGGCGCGAAAGGGCGGCAGCGTTAACGAGGTCAAACGACGCGCCGATAATTGCATCAACAAGCTGCAGGATTATAATACGCGCATAAATTCGTATACTGGCTGGCTATTAACCGAATAATGCGTCGCCCTTTGCGCAGCCGGCATTAACCGGAACGGGAATTACCGGCGAGGAAAGTGTGGCGCGCCGACGTAATTGGGGCTGACTAGGCCGAGCAATGCGTCACGTTCGATGTTTTCATTAACATCGAGACCCTGTGCTTTGCGGACCTATGTTCCGGTTTTGGATGGCAATTAGGACGAAAGAATCCAGGAAAATGGAGAAATTTCGATTTTGCCGGGCGGCCGTCGGTATGATTGATTTGCACTACTGAGACCAGCTTCTTTGACGTTTATTGTTCGTTAAGTTCCGATCATATAGTTGTCATATTCGTACCTCTAATAACAGGAATTTGCAGATAAATATTTCGTAATAGCTTTAACACTGAATTAATTTCAATTTTCGTCAGCGGTTGTCGATAATATTGACTCGTACTACTGAACGTTCTTGTGTCTTTCTTCTAACCGATTTTCCGACCTTGTATTTTTAATATATTTTAGTCTGTAGTACACGAAATCACTGGGAAAATATTTCATAACAATCTCGGAATTGAATTAAATTAAATTCCTCCGGGTGTTCGCGGAAACGGTCGACCCGCACCACTGTGAGTTTCCACGGGGCGGTCCGGTTTCCGGCGTTTATCGCCCGAATTCCACGGTAATCCAGCGATAAACTCGCGTGCAAGGACTTCGTGAACGTTCGCGGGCGAATGACGGTCTCACCCCCCGATTTCAAGGTTTTGACGACTCTCGTCAAGGTCATCAGGGATGGGGGAAAATTTTGCAGTGCTCACGGAACGGCGCCAGATTTCACGGAGGCAGATTCCGTTCCCTCGGAAGCATTTCACTTCTCGCTTGTTGTCGCGTGAGTCCCATACGTTTCCTCGTAGTCACGTTCTCAAACTTTATACAATATTTTACCCAGCAATTTAAATCTCGAACCTGGTCGCCGGGATCCGATATCGACGCGTCGAAACTATCCCCTCCACCCTCGATTGTTTAAACGTTTTATCCGACGGGCCAACCGACGCGATCAGAATTTTATCGTCCCGACGTGATTGATAAATATCTCGACGGTCCATCACAAAAAAAAACAATAACACAGCAACAAATACCTTGAATTGCCGCCC